TTGTATCCTGGAGGTGAGTGTCCACAGAGGCCGCAGCAGTTATCGACGGACAATTTTGCGTTAGGACATTATGCTGTGACGAGACTCGATCTGTTGATAAGTTTTTCTGTACTTTACTTTTATTTTCTCTAACAGTGTCAATGTCTTTAGATTTATTGCATTCATGATTCCAAACTTTTTATACATTTGCATGTTATGTCCTTATCTTTAATTGATTGCACTCCTAGTTCCAAGTTTTTCAAGTGCATGCTGGTGAAGGACAAATGGATGAAATCCATCGAAATTATACCCAAAATATATAAATCTGACCTTTTTTAACCAATTAAGGAGGGTAAAATTGTCTATTTCAATTTGACATAAAATATTTGAAATAATTGAATCAGCAACCAATAAAAACGAATAAAAGAAAAGCTTCATCTTCTTCGCCCCCACCCCCACCCCCACCAACCACAACCAAGTCCACCTCCACCTCCACCTCCACCACCTGCCCCAAACAAATTTGGAACCACCATCTTCTTCTCTATCACTGAATCTTCGCCACCACACGTGGCCAACAACATGGTCGTGCACTCCCCGTTATTCTCCTTCCATCCATCTCAAAATCAAACGTCGATACAAACCTTCAAAACAAATCTAAACCTTAAAATTCATTTACATATATAAAACATACACATAGATGCACAAACTTCTACCAAATTCTGTGTCAAACTATATGTATCAAACGGAATCAATCATCATTTTAATTTTTTGAAAGAAGAAACCCTAAATCTCAAGACCCAGAAAAAGGAACCAGATTCTGAAATTTACGCCAAATCTAAAGACCAGAAAAGAAACCCAAAATATCAAATGGAATCAAATTCTGAAATTCGCAGTTATATATTTTCACGTTCTGTCTGTTAGATCTGAAGGCGGTGCAAAAAGGAATTGTGCAGAACATGAATCAAAGCTTCTTTGAAGAGAAACTCTATTAAGACCACCACAATCCGTTCCTATATTTTCCTCTGCTCCTCATATACTTAACCTTTTCAGGTGGGGATGTTAAATGGCAGATTTGTTTGGGGCAGGTGGCGGCGGTGGTTTTGGTTGTGCTTGGTGAGGGTGATGAAGCATTTCTTTTTGTTTCTTATTTAATTATTTCAATTATTTTATGTTAAATTTGAANATTATTTCAATTATTTTATGTTAAATTAGAATAGACAATTTTAGCCCCTGTTTGTCTATAATTATTTCAAAAAAAAAAAAAAATTCTCAAATTTATTTTCAACCCTACATTCTCACAATAAAATATTTTACATATAAACTCAAATTTTTACCCACTTTTTAACCACACATTTTTGAAAAATATTTAAAAATTCATTCTTAAAAAAATCATTATCGAATAAGGCCTAGACAAGTTGATAATAACAGGTGAAGTGCCCTTAGAAATGAGGAGTTGGAACTAAAAAGTGAGACGAGAGAGTGTCACTTGAGACAACTTACCAGGAAAAGGCAAGAGTAGCCCTGAAAATGGTAATTCTAGGGCCAAACTTAAGGAATAAGAAGTACATCGAAACTTGGGAGTTTATTTAATAATGAAGATAATATCATAGGTGTAATCTATGTTGCAACAAGAAGTCAGCCTATTCAAGAATGTAATCTATGTTGTCAAATGAATCGAATAGTACTATAAGTTTAACATTATCTAAAACTATTGATTTAGTTCAGCATAAAACTATTGATCTGCAAAGAAATTTGACCTCTTTATAAATAATCTATATAAGATTAAGATAAGGAATGGGTGTATTGGTATTAATTTAAGAAAAATAGGCTTAGTGCCGGACTAAACCATAAGTTTCACTTCATCAACTATTTCAAATCCTAAGATAAGTCACAATTGTGGTATGTGGGCCACATTAGTGACAAAGGCCTTCGACTTCTAAGAGTACAAGGAGGCTTTGGAAATGTTTCTATTACTAAAATCAGTTACGTAAAATTGCATTTTGGATAAAAAAAAAATGTAGATTTCATTTTCTGCCTAGTGTTCAGAAATCGTTAATATTCTTGATTATCTACATGCTAATTTATAGTTGTCAGCATTTGTGCCTACTACTTTGGTTTAAGATACTTTATATTGATAGTGGATGAGGTACAATATATTGTTGCCATAGATGGGGTTAAGGAAGGAATCTGACTTCATGGAATGTCAATTGAACTAGGGTTTGATAAACATATATCCTGCTATACGTACATGGCTGGTCGCCATTTTTTTTGACAGATTGCCATGTGTCAAGATTTAATTGGTTGTTGGACGAAAAACAAAGGGCAACCAGCAAATGCAATGTTGCTGTCCGTACATCGATAAAAATTCTTGTAATTCTTTGATAAATAAGAAACTTAACTTAGTGCTATTTATCCTTGTAAGAATCATGGTTTCGTGATAGGAAGATGTTAAGTTTCATTTATTAGGAATGTCGTTTCAAATGGACTAATTAAACTTGAGAAAGTATCTATAAAGGCCAATCCAATGGATGTAGGAATATTTGGAGCTACTGTCCGGTCCTAAATATATGACAAGCACAAAAACCAGAATATGGCACCCCATACACCGAACCCTACTTTTGAAACTTGAAAGGACGAAAGTGATAAGAGTACATTGAACTGTGAAGCCACACGGCCAATAGGATTTTGCGAAAAACATTTTTGATCTAATGCCAACCTCTGTACTTTCTTTAGCGCATCTCACCTTCCAGTGGACACTATAAGCCAACTGAGGATAGCCTTGAACGATTTTTATCGATTCTCAAGGAAAATGGAGTCAATCTCGAAGAAGTCCAGGTGTATCATCGGCCTTTTCTGCTTATTTTTCCCTCTGATTCAGTATTTGAACTAATAGTGTTGTTGTCTCATATCTTAAACAGATCCGGAAGGCGAATGAAGACTTTGTGAGTCCTCAAGTCTAGATTTGCCTCCGAAATTGCTGAAGTATACCTACAGAAAAGAATGAGGCCTTTTCCTATACAATAATAGGTCTCATATAATTGAAAACATACATATATTTATATGTAATAATGGTGTGTGTGATTTGAGTGTACCAGAATCATGTGTAAAATGGAGAATTGAAGAGAAATATATGTAATAATGGCGTGTGACTTGAGCGTGCCGGAATCGTCTGTAGATTGGGGAATTGAAGAGAAATAAATGTAATAATGGTGTGTGACTTGTGTGTATCAGAATCATCTGCAGAATGGAGAATTGAAGAGAAATAAATGTAATAATGGTGTGTGACTTGAGTGTACCAGAATCATCTGCAGAATGTTGAATTGAAGAGAAATACATGTAGTAAGGGTTTGGGACTTGAGTGTACCAGAATCAAAACTCTATTCAGCACTTTTGCTCGCTCGGGGATGGGGTTTATCTCCACTTTATTCCTCCATTAATAGAGTTTGACGGATTCTATACCCATCGACGTTTTCATTTACATCAGTGAAGAGGGAACAGACTCGTCCTCTTCAGAAACAACTGGTGCAAATGTAACGAAGAATTAAGACTTACCAAGTAAAAAATAAATAAGTTATGTGTAAGGCCCAGACCACATCACG